AGGTCTTTTTTCAATCTCTATGGCTTCTCTGATAATTCTGTAGCTGGGGTTTTCTATTGTGGCTAGGGTTTTGGTGCCATTGAAGTCCCTCTCTGAGTTTCTACTATTCTTTTTAGGGGAAATGTTTCTGCCTTTTTTTGTATATCCTAAAATATTTCATTTTCCTAGGAGAAGAGGTGGGTTTTAACTTCCAACAGATTATTCTAGAAAACACAAGTGATTTATTCTCACAGCATACCAACACCATTTTTTTCTCCTTCTGTTCAATTTTATCCGATTCTTGAAGATGGTGTCATTGAGGGAATGGGATGGCCTGGAAGAGGGACAAGCTGTAGGTTCCTGAAAGTCTACGGATGAAAGTCTTGCAACGAAGCCATGATGCTAAGCAAGCAGGCCACTTCGGTTTCCTAAAAACCTTACACCTGACCAAACGACAATTCTGGTGGCCAGGCATGAAAAAGGACATAGAGAACTATGTAAAAAGTAGCATTGTGTGACTCATTGGTGGGATTCAATTTTTTTTACTACCGGTTCTGTGGGCATGGCTTGGTGGGCATGGCAGGGGAAGGATACTGTAAAATCTCCATTCCCTCCCCACCCCACTAGCCTGCTTTCCAGCTCTGTTCTCCTGTGCAGGGCAACCAAAGAAGACCCAGCCAATCAGCTGGGACTCGGGAGGCAGAGAATAGATGGAGACGGGGCCAGTCAGAGGTGGGATTTGCCGGTTCTCTGAACTCCTCAAAATTTCTGCTACCGGTTCTCCAGAACTGGTCAGAACCTGGTGAATACCACCTCTGCTGTATTTCCATGAAATGGAGACCAGGGAAGATCTCGGGATTGTTACAGCAAGTGGCTGAGCCAACTCAGCCTTGGGAAAAAATAACTATGGACTTCACAGTAGAACTCCCAGAAAGTGGGGGGAATACTGTTGAAAGGCTGACAAAATGCCTTTCTTCTGAGGATTCGATTTTCCCGCTGGGAGAGCTCTGGTGCAAGGATACAGACAACTGCTTGAAAGCTGGATCTTTTTATTTTTCAGGAAGGCAAGAGATAGCAAGAAGTCTGCATTCCTGGGCTAGCTAGCTTTGTATGATAAGTCCCCTGATTTTTGTACCCTTTTTTCTCATTTTGTGTGTGTGTGCTTGTGTTTGTATTTCTTAATGTTTTAAATCCTGTCAGGGGTTGTCTTCATTTCTGCCGGAGGGTAAACTCCGTGGGGTGCAGAAGGCAAACTTTGCGGGGTGGTTTGATTGGATTATCGGTTTCGTCCTAATCTTTTTTTTGCTTAATGGTTTCTTATATTTGTTTTGTGGCAATCTCCTGTCTGTCTCCTTTGCAATATATTTTGTGTCTTTTGTTTGTTTGTTTTGCTGATTTGGCATGTCTTGTGTTTGTAAGGGTTTTCTTTTCTTGTTTCCCTAGCTTTCTTAATTACTTAGCTTTTGTCTAGGGGGCTTCTTTCAATACCTTTTATTAAATTTCTTTTCCTATGCAAGTTTGTTTTATGGCTGGCCTGATGTTCCCCTCGGGCTTTTCCTGCGTGGATATCACCACTGTCCTCATGAAATTCCCTTTCCACAATACTATAATCTGGACTGTAGTTGATTTGTTCTCTAAGCAAGCTTACTTTGTAGCCTGCCCGAGCCTCCCGTCAGCCCAGCGCCCTACATTAAGACTTGTAGGAAGTTAGCACCCACCCCTCTCCTAGAAAAATGAAATATCCTGGGAAATATTAAAAAGGCCAAATATTTCCTCTAAAGAGTAGAAACTCTGAAGCAGAAACTCACCTCAGAAGTAGAAGCTCACCCCCACCTTTGTTAATGGGTGGGCCATTAAGGCCTGGGCCAGAATACTTTACAGAACAAGGATCCGCAGGTAAAACTATAGCAATTGCCAAAAGCCCTTTTCAGTGCATCATCACCCAGCAAGGCTCAACCAAGCCTGGAACTCAGGACAGCCTACAGAGTTGCCCCTGCATGGCCTCATGGGAGTCTGACAACCAATTAGAAACAAGCTCCAATTCAAATCCCAACAAAGGTTATAAAACCCAGGCACTCTCAGCACCTAAGCCCTTCTTTCTTGATCTCTTCTTTCACCTTGAAGCATGTGATCATCCTTTTCACTCTGGAGCTTCAAGCCATGTGTTCCTCCTGTCCACCATTAAACCTTCCAAACAGCCTCCAGTGTCTTTTTCCCCACTTGGAACTGAACCCAGAAGGATATTTCTTCCAACATACTGAACAAGTCCCTGTAGTTTTCTTGACAACGTTTATCAGAAGTGGTTGTTAAGCCTGGATTCCCCAACGGGTGTTAAGGAAAACAAACTAAACAGAATGTGCAGCGAAGTCAGATAGGAAGACAGGTAAATGTGTGAGATAAGTTTTCTAGTTAACACGCAGTAAAAATACAGATACGCTTGTGCTACCAAAATTATAGTTTATTCCATTTAGAATGATAGCATAGTCATTATAAACAGTCCATTAGTCATATACCAAATTCAGTCAAGTCTTGTCGAGGATACTCTAATTGCAAAGTCCGTGTCAAATAGCCAGTGTCAGTACACATATAATAAATCTGTCCAAAACTTATCTTCTCTCCGTTGAGAAATATCTTTAAAGTAATCCAACACTTCTTCTCCTCCCCGATCCAGCAAGAATGCAGTCTTCAATAAGCCAGCCAGTAATTAGGGATCAGTAAGCCAGAGAGTGCCTTGCTGCTTATATAGTACTTTTACAGCTGCACCCTTAATTACATTTCTTTAGCTTAAAGTCACATACACTTTATCTGACAAACCATGATTCATCATTTTATTATCTTTACCCAAAACAGTTAGGGTAAAACAATGTTATCCCTAACAGTGGTTTACCACTGCATCCTTCCTAGAGCTAAGCAACAGACCCAAGGTCACCCAGCTGGCGTTGTGCCCAAGGTGGGAGTAGAACTCATGGTCTCCCAGTTGCTAGCTTGAGGTCTTAGCCCTAACACCAAACTGACTCTCATACCAACATCTGAAAGGATTAGTACAGGTAGCCCTTGATTTACGACCACATATTTTTTCTTGCTAAGTGAGACAGTTAAGTGAGTTTTGCTTCATTTTACAACTTTTCTTGCCACAGTTGTTAAGCAAATCACTGCTGTTAAGTTAGTAACACAGTTGTCAAGTCCATCTGGATTCTATTAACTTGGCTTGTCAGAAGGTTGTCAAAAGGGCATGACCCCAGATTCCTGCAACCGTCATAAATATGAACCGGGCATCTGAATTTTGATCATGTGACATTAGGGATGTTGCAACAGTCATAAATGTAAGAAACTGTCATAAGTCACTTTTTTCAGTTCCGTTGTAACTTTGGTTGCTAAACAAACTGCTGTAAGTAGAGGACTACATCTTCCACACAATGGAAGCAAGTAAAAGTGGATTGTATTGTGATTGTGTATAAATTTCTAGGTTCTTTAAAGTTTATGATAGACAGAAGTTCAAGATATAACCAGCTTAGGAGCTGTGGGTGAGTCAATATATTGGTTATGTTAATTTGTGATTGAATTATTTTTACCTCTGCTGCTCTTTTTTTGTCTACAGTTTTTAATACTTTCTTTTTCTTTGAATATTGTTCAGGTAGGTGGCAGAAGGATGGGTGGATGGAAGGAATAGCTGCAAATGGAAAAAAATGCATTCCTGTAATTAATTATGTGCATTGTCTGAGAGCAGAGGGATTTCCACAATGAAAAACATTTACCATTTCATCTCCAACACTGCCATCTTAATGAGGATGACAACGATGATGAGGCAAATGGGGATCTTCAGAAACAAACTTTAGCTAATCTAATTATAAATTTGAACTGAATTGCAAGCAGCATATTCAGGGGAAACATAAACAGATGGACAAAATTAGGGAAAATACAAAGTCTCCATTATTTCGTTTATGGAGAGTCTCAGTCATCCAGGTCATGGTTATCCCAAAGGTTTTCAAGAGGCAACTGGACTTCAGCTCAAGAGCTTCTTGGATGAGAAGTGAAACGTCTTCAAAGAAAAACCAAAAAGTTCAGTTGCCTCTTGCAAAGGCATCTTTGGGATGATCCCCATTATTTCATTTCTACTCTCTCAAAATGATTTTGAATTAAAAAAAATTAAATGAATTTTGCATGCAAATTGCAAAAGTACGGCTTTTGCTCGAAAAAACAAACTAACCCGGGGACACTTAGCATTCTGCTGCTACTCGCCAGTCGTTCGGATTTTCTAACCCAGTTTTGGCCATTTTAGTTTTAGGGTGGCAGTCGAAGCTTACGGCGCCTTGCGGTAGATCCCTGCATTTCGCGCCATATTAAACAATATTATTTGCTATGAACGGCAGCGACTTAAGCGGAGACAATAAACAGACGGTTAGAAAACTCAGATAAGAAGGGCTAGACTTGAAAAGCAACTCTATGGCAATACTCTCTAGCCTGGCGTTTCCCCTCTCTATGATCTTTTTCCCCCTGGGTTTTTCATTGGTTCTGGGACAAGCGGGGTGCAAAGGTAGGACCGTTTACTCTCCCGTCTTCCAGGACTCGAATGGTCCAATCAAGAGAAGGAAGACTTTTAAACGGCAGCTGAGTGGACGAATGGAAACCTTTCCTGCCGAGAGAGGTGGGGCGCGCCCAGAAAGAGCGATCGTCCACCTTCGCCTTTAGGGTGCCCGGAGGAGGAGGAGGAGGGGGTGCAAGGAAGGTAATTTGCCCCCATCTCCTTTTCTGATTTTTTTTTTTTAAGCTGAGGACCCCGCTTCCCCGGCTTCCCCGGCGTTTAATCGGGAAAGGGCTGCTGCCACTTTAAGGCTTAAAGGGCCATGCCTCTTTTATTTTAAAAAAAGTTGGCTGCCATATAAGGTGGGGATAAAAACCAGGAATTGGGGGCACCGCCAAAGTAAGAGAAAGGAGTAATGCAAGGAAGGGAAAACGGCGATTCGGGTGTAATAAAGCGCGGCGGGGCGGGTTTCCACTCTGCAGGAGAATTAAAGTCCTTTCTTTTAATTGCAAGATGGAACAAACTCAGTTGCTGGAGTGGGATGGAGAAGGCGACTCCCCGGATAGGTCTGATGGTGCAGGGGAGACCCCTAAGCCGGTGGGGCGCCTGCATCTGCTGAGCAGCAAGTACGGCCCCGAGAAAGGTAAGGCCTTCTGGAGCTGCCTTTGCTTCCTGAGAGCTACAGGTACCCTGGTGGCTTCCAGGTTGGTGGAATTGTGTGAATTCTACCGTGTCGTGCAATATTAACGCAATATCGGGTTTTCAATTCAGTTGTACAGAATGGGAAGGGGTGTGTGTTTGTGTTTTATTTTTATGGCTATAATGTACACTGAAGATGGCATTTAATTTCGTTGTAACGAGGTGCAGTGACAATAAAAAGTAAACGAAACTAAAACTAAACTGATTACAAGAAACAATGGTTGGAAACTAAGCAAGGAGAGAAGCAACCTGGAATTAAGGAGAAACTTGCTAACAGGGAGGACACTTAACCAGTGGAACAGCTTTGCCTCCAGAAGTTGTAGGGGCTTCTCACTGGAGGTTTTAAAGAAAAGACTGGAGAGCTACTTGTCTAAAATGGTACTATAGGGTCTCCTGCTTGAGTAGTGGGGTGACCTCCAAGTTCCCTTCCAGCTCTATTCTGATTGATTGATCACTCCAGATTCATATTTACTGATATGGAAGTGTATTTTGCTGTAGAGTGGGACAACAAGCCATGGTCTGTAATAAGATATGTTACAATGTCAGCGTACAATATGTTTGCTTGTTGCTATTTCACATGAATGATG